CCCATGGAGGAGCGCTGGGAGCTCAGTGATCTTTAAGGCTGTGTGCCCAAATACAGTTATTTTATTCAATAAAATGGTTGTAGCAGTGAGACCAAGTGATCTTCTTGGGGTTTTTTGGGGCTGTTTTTCTGGATAACTGGATGATGGAATTTCACGTGAGGCTTTTTGGTATCCTTAAGGAAGTCAGTAGCGCTTTTGACTCCCAGGTTGGGCTTCAGGCTGTGACTCCCTATTTCTGTAAATGTGCTGGGTGAGTCAGAAGTTGTTAGAAAAAGATTATATTCTAGTAAATGCATATGGTATGAATTCTGTGTCATAAACTAACTTACACCTCTTCAGTGACACTACTCTGAAGAGTAACAAAGTGGAAAGCGGCCTGTTTTGTGTGTTTAGGCATATCTGCTTGATTAAATAACTTTAATAGAGCTTCACAGAAAGAAATTTGATGAGGGAAGTAAATTCTGTTCTGCCTTCTGCGTCCATTAAATTGTTCACTAATTTTTCTGAATGCTTTTGCAGCCCAGCTGACATCAGATCTTTAGGAATATTACTGAAATCCCAATTGACTTGTCCGGTTAGAAAAACAAATCTCTACTTTTTTTTTTTTTTTTTTTTTTTTAAGTAAGCATGTTTTATTTGGAGTAAGAGATAGAAAAGCAGTGAACTGAAATTGTGGCAGGGATAGACAGGTGACCTTTTACATGTGCTGTTAACGGGGTTGATGAATGTGTGATGAAGGGTAAAAGTTTACTTTTATACTGGTTTTCCACTAGAGGCTCCAGTCTCTGGGATTTGCTGTTGCAGGGGAGAGGAAATTCAATTCGAGGCAGTAACTGGGGAGAGGTTTGCAGGGTAAAGTGAAGCAGAAAAAGCACCCAGTAAGATGTGTCTGATGTGGCCAAAGGTTGGAAAGCCTGTTCCAGGTATTGCCAGCTGTCCCAGCCCAGCAGGGGATCGGAACTCTGGACACGTTGTTGGAGTTTTACAGTTTCCAGTTTCCAGTGAGTAATTCATAGCTGAGTGGCTTTGCTTGTCTTTAGCTCATCTCTCTGGTCTCATGGAGGTGTTTACATACTGAACCACCTCCTTGGTTCCTGTGTCAGGTACATCTGGAAAGCTCAGCTTCAGAATCAAAGCTTTAGGAACTCTGGTTTAGAGATTAACTCTGATCAGGTCTACGTTAGGAGAAGAAATTAAAGTTAACAGGAGACTGAAAACAAGTGGGCAACTCCATTTAACTGAGGTGCAGAAGAACTTTATGGATGGTGCACTAGAAAACAGGGGTTTGTCTCAGACTTTGGATGTTTCTTTACTGCGGTCTGTGTCTCCTCTTTAAATTCAATATGCCTGTATGTTCCTTCCATTTTCATGTCAGTTTTTAATATTTGTTTAGACAAATACACAATGGAATCTGGCAGTGTAAAAGAGCACCTGACAATTTTGTTTGACTCAGTGATAAATGCCACTTCTACTTGCATGCAAGATGACACAGTGAAGGGTATTAAGTCTTGAAAGTTAAGCATTTACCAAGGGAAAAACATACTTTTGGAACAATAAAATCTTATAAAAAAAGGTTGCTGTGAAATAACAGTTAAGACATTTTTAATGCTACACAAAAAAAAATGATAATTTAAATTATTTATAAAGGTTAATTAGAACTCTTGACAAGTGGAACACAAGTGTTAATACAGAGTTTAATTTTTGGGGTTTTTTTTACTTCGATTACTTGCCAAACACTCATTTTGATCAGTGGAAGAATGTTTTGGGATAGTTGACAGATAACCTTTATTTCTTCACCAAAGCTCATTAATGCATATTTTGTTGTTTTTTTGAAAGGAGGTTTGCCTTTAGGGAACATCTCATTTAGTAATATTATTATTAGTATTATTTTCTCTTTTTTTTTTTTTTTTCTGATTTGTATTACCAGAAATATTTCAAATTTGAATTCAGAGAGAATTAATTAAATTTACATTGACAAGCACTTTTATTTCCTTTTTCCTGGAGTTGGGAGTGGCTGCTGATGATCTTTGTCCTTGTGTTTTCCACAGTGAAGCAGAGATCAGTTCAATTGAACTGTAAATGCCATATGAGAAGAACTGAGTAGTTGGCAAAGGTCATTTCAGTTCTGTGTAGTAAAAAAAAAAAAAAAAAGGAAACGAGATTAGATATTTGGAAGAAGAGTTTAAAAACGTACAGTTTAGCCACTGGATAAATGGGCCATGGTCCCAAATCTTGAACACAATTTGGGTGACGTTGTGTCTGAAGGGCGTGGTAAAGGTTAGTAAGGATGATCAGAGGTCTTCAGAAGGATTCCATGAATACCCTCAGTTTGGAAGAGGGATGACCTGATGAGTCTTTGTATCTTGTAGAAAATCATGAGTACCATGAAAACCTTTATAGAATGTGGTTGGGCACTTTGGTAGCACGAGAAAATATCCAAGTGAATTGAGGCTGACATTTTTTATAGCCACAAGCTGACTTCTACACAAAGCACAAATAAACTGTGCCCACTCTCATTTGGGAGGCAAAAATGTATAAATGTGTCTAAAAACAAAGCAATTGAACAGATTTACATAGAAGCTCTGACTGGTAATAAAGTGTAGTACAGACTCTGGCTTAAAAGTCTGAGAAAGGAGCCTGGGAGTCCTGATGCTGTTTGCTCTTGTTCTTGCACTTTTTTTTCTCAAGAATTTATTGTAGGTTGTTGTCAGAGAAGGGAATTGAGAGACTTTGGGTCTTGCCCATTAGGATTTTGTGATGTTACTGTTGTCAGCAGTGTGGGAGGTGGTGGGAATGGTCTCAGGTAGATTGTCCTTGTGCTTTTGGACAGAATTTGGAGTCTGTGTGAGAGGGGGCTATAAAACCTAGCACATGGGATAATCCCAGAAACCAGAGGGGTGCAGTACTAGTATAATTTACAACAAGATTTTTGCTTTAGCAAAAAGTATTGCATTTGAACGTTGCTTCCCTTGTTCTTTTTGAGGTTGTTCATGCCCAGGAAGGCTGGGACTGAGGAGTGGTGAATGTGCCTTCTGAAACAAGGAGACAGGACCAGGAGCTGCCTTATGTGCACATCAGACACTGCTGGATGAACTGCCCTGGTCACTCACACTCACAGTGCTATCAGAATAGCACGTTAGGAGATCCAAATCTTCTGCAAGATCATTTTTAAAATTGCTGGTTGGAGCTTTACAAAAAGTTTCACCTTGTTTTGGATTGTGCTGAAATATAAAAAAAGGCCTTGCAGCAACACAAGTTTTGCAAGCTGTTGATGTGCTTTCTTTTCAGTTGCCTTTTCCAAAGGTACTGGGAACCTTTTTTGTGAATGGAACCTGGGTACTGTAGTCCTGTGCTAGTTTTATAGTTTTTGTGTACTCAGACCTGGTTCTTACTTCAAAACTGTAATTCTGTGTTTGTTTATTTAGATACTTTTAATCCAGAGAGCAGCTCTCTGTGGGCTTTGCTCTGTTTAGGTTCATTTTTCACGCTGCTGCAAATTGTTCTCAAGGTTCATTAAATCAACTTCTTAAATTATATGACTTCTGTTAATAGTTTGACACGGCCAAACTGCTGTACAGTTTGTTCTGAAAAGCATATTTATTCAGAAAGTAATGAATCTTGTTTAAATATAGTCAACTGCATTGACTTTGTCCCTGTTTTATCTTCTTACTGCTCAAATGTTTGGTTGCAGCCTCAGAAGGTCACATCTAAAGGAGTTCTGTACCTGTACAGAGTTCAGCGTGATGGGAAGTCTGTTCTGTCTGCAGCAGATGTTCCATTATGTCCCTATGCACAACGAAAAATTACCCTTTAATATAAAACCGGGTCTTTTTAGATTAGCACTTCAGTTGTTTGCAATGTGTGACACTTGGTAGCTTGTGGGATGGGATGAGATGCTCAGAAAGTTCCCAGGTCAGTGTTGTGTCTGGCCAGGACCACTCTGGTTTTTCCTCACCTTGGCTGGTGGTTTCTGTGGGTTGTGAGGCTGCTTGTTCTTAGTTTATCTCCAGGAGTGTGATTGTGCCTCACAGCTTAGGTGCAAAAGTGTTTCCATCTTTCCAAACTGCTCTACGCAAGAGTAACATCCAGTTCCAGCAAGAAAACATACATGAAAATGAGGGGGTTTATTAGAGGGGATGACTCAGAGGCTAAAAGATGGTGATTCTTTTACTGTTCCCTGTGTGTGTTTATTTTGAGTGGCGATCAAAATCACCTTAAAAACTTCAAAAAAAAAAAATCCACATGCTTAAGGCATGACATAAGTGCAGTGAAAACCGAATTTGATGAAAGAATGGAACCACATCCAAACAAAGAAAACAAACTCGGATAAGTCAAGGCATAATAAGGCACACCTGAAGGGATGCTGAGGAACAGCTGATGCCATCAAAACAGTGATAAAACTTCTCAGATGTTTCAGGAGCAATAAACTATCTATTTGCTCCTGGTTAGGTAAGATGGTTCAAGGGAAAAAGAGGTCATAGCAGAATAACTCAGGTTTTGCTGGTGGGGGTAATTTCCGTGGAGAAGTTAATGGAATACCGGTTGTGTTACTGTCATCATCCTCTTGAGAGAGGAGTCTGGCTGTGCTGGAGCAGGTGAGGAATGATGGGGCCACACAGAGATGAGGCTTGTGGAAGGGCCAAGCCTACCTGCAGCCTGGAGTCTCATTTTAGCAGCAGGATTTAAAATTGCTGTGAAGTGTGCAATCGCTTTCATCAGCTGCAAGCAGTTTCTCCACTCTTCCCTTTATTCTGATTCAGCTTGTTTTTGTTGCCCTTTTGTGAACCGAATCTGGGAAGTGATTCATTTAAAAATAAAAATGCTCTTTTCAGGGATTTTTTTTTTAATTAGATTATTTCAGGTTTTGTTTTGATCAGAGATCAAAAAGCTTTTGGCACTTGCACTGCAGTTGCTCTGTTTCCCTTTCTGTTCTTCTCTTTAGTCATACTTTGTCGTGTTTATGCCACTTGTATTGATGGAGTTTTGTTTGTTTTTTATAGTGACTACAGTTCCTGTCTCCCCTCTTTGATGGAAGAGGACTATGACCCAGAAGTGAACTCTTCACTGTAGAACAAGAAGCTCTTGTGGAATAATTGTGTCCCTTTAAAAGCAGCACCCAGTCTACAAAAAAATAGAGTAGAAGAGATTATTTTTGGACCTGGCTTTTTTTTTGTTCATGTGACCTACGTTTCAGCATGTAAATGGTGAAAACCAGGGGAAATATTTGTGCCTGCTTCTGAGCTTTATATCAAGTAGCGCTTAGCTCTGTGGAGCATTTACCAAGTTACGTGAAGACCAGAGCATATATCCCAACGTTCATTTTTTAAAATACTTTACCTTTTTTTAGCAGATGTATGCGATAAAAATGAAGCTTATATTTTAAGAGCACTTCGGCAGATGCTTCTCGTTTAGATCTCGGCATCTAGGGCAAACATTTTTGCGTAACATCCTTTTTCCAGAGTGTTTAGGTTGATCTGCTGCAGATCATGAACTGTCCAGCAGCCTTGAGTGTTCAGTGTTAACCATGATGTGGCTCTGAATGTTGTCATGCAGACTTGACAAACCTTTTTGTGATGTAAAGGCTGACCTCTGTACTACCACGACCAGAGGAAATTTAATGAGGTGAACGTGGGCGCGGCTTTTTTTTTTTAAATATAAATTACCCTCTTAGGTATCTTTTTTTTGTAGTGAGAGTGCAAAGAGAAGTTAAAATGAGCAGCTGAGGGGGTGAAGGGCACAGTTGGCACCAAGTGCGGCCTCTCGTGCTCTGCTTTGAGACGCACTGTTGCCTCAAGGCTGGCCTTCCAGAGTACTGGAGAAGGAAGGAACCCAGAGCTCACTGAAGCACACAAACTAAGGACATTGGACTGCAGAGCCCAAACTCAGGGTGAGTGATCATATGTACTTTTTTTTTTTTTTTGCTTATACAATGTTGACTTGTTTATAGACAACGTTGAAAAATAAAGCAAAATGGTAAATTGGAGAACCTTCCACGAAAAGGCGGAATTCAGTTACGCAGAGCAGTGAAATGTTCCTCGTTTTGAGCAGTGAAAATTGCTATGGTATGGTGGGAAGAAGGATTTGATTTTGAATTCATCAGTGAGACACCTCTGCTGGTCTTCAGTTGAACTTCCATTAAGATCCTTCCAGCAGTTCCACAGAACTGTGTTCTGTTCCTCATCATGTGCTTTCTTAGCTGTGGAAGCGGTGTCAGCACAGGATATTCCCTGGTGCCTGGGACTTGGTGGATCTGGATACAGTTTTACTTCGGGGGTGCAGGAGCTGACCTGTGGTTGTCTTTCAGGTCTCTGATCCTCTCTGAATGTCTCTTAACATCTCTGATTTGTCATACTTGATTTACAGCCTCTGGAATAAAACATGCAGCGATCACCCCTTTGTAGATTATGGGGCAATGAAGGATTGTACCCCAAATTCTGTCATGTCTTGATTTTGCATGTCTGTGCATTGTGTGGCTTTTCTATGCTGTTTGTTCCGTTTTCTTCCCACCTCCACACCCATTCTATCATGAACTTCATGGGTGTGTTAATTGTAAACAGGAAGTAACTGGGAATGTTGAAGTTCTTACCTGTTTCAATCAGAGGAACAAAACACCAGAAAAAAAGGGCTCAAGTGTGGTATGAAAAACTGCAGCACTTTTCCCCTCCTGGTTGCGTAGGACAAGCTTTGGGAGATAAATTATATTATTATTTCGGTTTGGAAAAGATGACGGGGGTGTCCTTTTCATTTACAGATCCTGGCCATGAGGTTTGATGCCTCATTTTATTGAAGGGAGACACTGGACCTAAATGGCGCAGCATGACTTTGTTCCTGCCTGGCTTAACTTCTCAACACCGCAGTCAACCAAGGTAACAGTAACACACATCACCTGCTTTTGCAGCTGTGACCGCTGGTAAGATGAGTGTGTTGGGTTCTCTGTGTTTCTGGATGAGATCTGTGGGTTTGTGTGTCATCCTGATCAGATCCGTGCTTGTGGGTGGCGGTTAATCAATGCAAATACGGGAAATCGTGGGGTTTGGTGAGGTGGGTTTGTTTTTTTTTTTTAATTGACAAAATGCCACTGCTGGGCTGACAGGCTCCTGGGGTGTCCAGATGAATGCTTCGTTACATCACTTTCTCCTTTCTGCAGTCCCCTGCAGCCACCTTTGAGAAACATGGAGAGCATCTTTCCCGGGGAGAGGGCCGCTTTGGCGTGAGCCGCAGGAGACACAACTCCTCCGATGGATTTTTCAATAATGGGCCCCTCCGCACTGCGGGAGGTGAGTGGGAAGGATCAGAAATGCAACCTGAGAGTTTATGTTCTACAGGATGAGGAATTCTGCAGAATATCAACTACATTTTCCCAAACTGTACCTTTTCCAAACATCCTGTAAGGAAGCCGTACTACTCTCTTCTCCCGTGCCATGTGCTCAGGCCTTAAGGGGGTTTCACGTAGCTGTCTGTGCATTGTGTAGCTTATTTTCTGCTACAATCACACAGTAGCTTAATAAGTTCAGCTCAGTAGTTACCCAGTGAACACTGACCGAACAACAAAACAGCCTGATATTTCCAGTGTTCTGTGTGCTGTGCTGATTTTTTTTTATTTGCACCCTTATCTCCTTTTGTTTAGACTGCTGGCATCAGCCGTCCCTTCTCCGCCACGATTCTGTAGATTCTGGTGTTTCTAAAGGAGCTCACGTTGGGCTTTCTGGCAGTCAGCCTGGCTGGCATGGTCCCTCCCGGGGCCATGATGGCGTGAGCCAGCGTGGAGGAGGAGGAACTGGAGTCCATCGCCACTGGAATGGCAACTTCCACTCTCGGAAAAGTTCCGCCTTTCAGGAAAAGCTGCCTGTTGAATCCAGGGAGGAGAAGAAGGAAGATAAAGAGCATTTGCAGTTTGAGGAAGAAGACTTTGTAAGTGTCTAGCTTCTCACTGGAAGTGGCAGCTGTGAGAAGTGGCTTTTCACATCTCGTTTTTATTAGCATGGATAGGTGGTGAGGATCTAGGGTTGCATTCCATTCCATGTTTGAGATCACAACAAATTTAACAAAATTATTCCAGCGCTGACAGGATGGTAATTGGTACCCAGAGTCCTCAGGACCTGATGGCCTGTTGGACTGTGGGTTTTGGCACATGTATTTTGCCAGATGGTTATTGTGAACTGAAGGCATTGTAACACACAAGCCAGGTCTTCAGCAAAACCCAAAAAGATTGACTTTGTGGCTTTGCTTACAAAGCCTTTTTTTTGCTCCTAAATACTGTTCTGCTTATCTTCAGTCTTCCTGTATTCTGGTACATGTTGGTGTTTGTGATAACCTTCCCAAGCTCGTTCATGACACGTTCAGACCTTTGCAACCATCTGTCTTGAATCTTCTGGAACACTATTTTGTTATCAGAGCTGTTTCCTCTCTCTCTGGTAATCTGTGGATCAGGGTTTCTTGAGCCATTTCTTCCATCAGTATCTCCAGTTCATCAACGTTCTTCTTACTCAGCATTCTGATTCATGTGGTATTATCAGTATGATAGTCTCTTATATCCTGGCTCTATTTTTACTGCAATATCTTTAGTTTTTCAAACTTTATCAAATTGTGCTTGGACTTCCAGCTTTCATCCTTACCACATACATTCCTTAATGCTAATGTTTTGAGATGTGCACAGCTTTTCTGCTTTCACTTTTCAATTTAATTTTATTTTTATCATCAGCATGAAGTTTTTGCTGCCTTATTCAGCATTTGTCTCTGGAAGGCTGTTTACAGCTGAAATTGTTGTGGCACTGCTTCTGTTCGGGAATTTAGGAGTTGGAGTGAAGTGTGTGGGTGCCCAAAGCTCCTTCAGGCCAAAATCCAGAGCCTGCAGTTAAATTGCCACGGGAGGCAGTTTGATTTAAGCTGCTGGGTGGTTTTTTTTCAGCGAAGTGCCTGGGAAGTGATTGCATGTTCTTGTTCAGCTGCTTCTGCTGGAAGCAGGAGCATCCCAGGGTGGTTAACAGCCAGAGAGCAGCAATGAAGCTGGAGCATGGATTTCTCTTGCCTGATTTCTCAATAATACTGTAATTCAGGATGCTTTTGACTGTCAGAAACCTGTTGAAATACAGAAATATTGCAGCAATTGTGACTGTGCACCGTTCTCATCTGTCTTGGTCTAAATCCTTCTTCCATGTTCTTCTTCATTCTCCAGTGCTTTGATTAGTGCCTTCCCCAACTACATGGTTGTTTCTTCTGTAATTATTTCCCCCATTTTTAAGATGATAATACCACGTGCTGGCTATTTTGTTTGATAACTCCTGTGTTGTCTTTGCCGTAGTGGTGAAATCACTGTGTGCTGGGGTTGAGCTGTTAGGCCTGCGTGGCTGACAGCGGCAACATTTGTCCTGACAGACTTCCAGCCTGTTCTGCAGACCTAAGTTCTCCTGTGCTGTGAGCACCCCTGCCATAAATCTGGCCAGTAACTAAAAAATGAAGCAGTGAAACAGAAGAATTTCTAGGGACTGAGGCAGGAATTTATGCTATGGTGTGACATTTTTTCCTAACTCTTAAAGAACAGGAATACCTACTATTTCAGATACTCATTATTAGAAACTTATGCTGTCACCATAGCAACTGACATATGAGGAATTCATTAAAAAGAGGGAAAAGATGTGGCTGGATTTTGAACTGGGGTTATTTGGGACAGGGGAAGAGGAATAGCTAATCAGAAACACTTGTCATTGCATGCTTAGATTTTCTGTACTTTGCTTTGAGCTTGAACACGTCCATAGTTGTTCCACTAAGTTGAATTCTGATGCTGAATCGCAGGTAAGTCTGCAGAGAGCACTGAGTCTGCATGCAGGATTGTCCTAAAAAAGTGGACTCTGAAGCTTAAAAATGTAAATGTAGCGCTTTTTTTGTCAGTGAATGTATTGCTGTACGTTAGGAATCTAGTATTGCTTTTGGTGGGTGTTTTTAATTGGCTGATGCAGAGTTCTTATGTTAAAATATTTGAGAAAGGAGGCTGGATTCTTCATATACTGATAATGTGGATTCTTTTTTATTTTTTGAGCTGCTGACTAAACACCTAAATGATTTATGTGTGCATGGGTTGGTAGAATCTACTGAATTGTAAAAGAGTACTGAAGGGCCTATCCTGCACCCTCTGATAGTTCCACTGGAAATACAGCAGAAACCAAGGAGAATACAAACTTGATTTTTAGATACTTGTGACAAAACACTCTCTTCCACCTTCAGGTGCTGTTCAGACAAATCTCTCTGTGCTCTGGGTTCCTAAAAACATAATGTTATGTTAGTACTGATTATATTTTTGTTACAGACGACATAACGATGCACTCATTTGTGTTGTCTTTTTGCAGCCATCTCTGAATCCAGAAGCTGGAAGACAAAACAACCAGAACAAACCTTTAGGGACACCTTCTGGAGTATGGGGTAGGTAAAGGTCACTGTACAGAATGCTGGTGCTGAAGTAGAAAGTTGTAACCGGTGTTTAAATGCTATGCTTTCTTCACTCAGAAATGCTTTCAAGACCTAAGTGAAGCAGACAGTTTGCTGCTTTCTGTCCTTTGTTGTTTTCCTCCCACAATCTTCACTAATCTCTTGGCCTTTTTGTCTGCTTGAGACTGTGCTTGTCATGTCATGAAAGAGCTGCCAGTGGCAGCAATGTCGCTGTTCTGCTCTCGCTCCCTGTCGTGCTGCAGTTACAGTTTCACACAGACATCTCTTGAAGGGCAGAGCAGGCTGGAGTGAACTCGACATTAGTTCCTGGCTTGTGATCTTCATATTAGAAATACAGCAAAACTGTCAGATTTCTGTGGTTTTGCATTTATTTGTTTGTGTGTTTTTTTTTTAACTCAGCCTTGCTTTTGATCCTGTTCTGGTATGTGAGTCTATACCTTTAAAAAAAAAAAAAAAAAAGAGTGAAGCAAGGTGCCAGCTCTAGCAATTAAATACAGGTTTGTTAATATCCAGTTGGGTTAGATACTGTAAATAGTACAAATGCAAAAGAAACTCAAACCCACTTCTGGTGATAGCATTGGGTTGTATTCCTTTTGTATATTTGTCACGTAGCTGTTGCTCTGCTCAAAAACTAATGGCATTAACATTTATGGGGCTCCTTGCTGTTATCACTGTTACTAATTTTTAAATTTTTATGCTCCTGGAAATGTGCTGATTTGACCTAAGAACCATTAATTGTGCTTGTTTGTAAAAGTACTGTGTCTTTTGAGGTATAAATTATGCAGTGTATTTCTGCTGTGTTAGTGAATTAACAAAGCTGATCCATGACTGCTGAAAAAATGCTCCTGTCTGTTCAGATTCCTGTAGAATGGTGCAAGGCTGCTGGCTGATGTCACTGTGGGTTTTTCCCTTCGGCATCAATAGAGCTGTTGTGGTTGAGTGAGAGAAGATTGAACTTTGACATCCGTATCCAGTACCTTTCCTCAGAGTTGAAATGGAAGAGCAGCTGATGGCAGAGTCAGAATCAGATGTGAGGTGTTTTAAGATGGAGAGGGGAGGAACTGGAGAAGTAACTGAAGCTGTTCTCTTGTTTCATTTTTACAGAAAACCCCCCTAGTGCCAAGCAACCTACCAAGATGCTGGTCATCAAAAAGGTTTCAAAAGAGGATCCTTCCGCCGCCTTCTCAGCTGCATTTACATCACCCGTTTCTCACCTGGCAAACGGCAACAAAGCCACCACCATTGTCCCAAGTGTCTACAAAAATCTGGTTCCTAAACCTGCAGCTCCTCCTTCCAAGGTACGGGGGATTCCAACCAAGTTGGTGAACTGCAGATCGAGGGAATCAACCCCCCAGCAGGTAGCAGGAGTTGGAATTCAGGAGTTTCTGGGGTAGTGGCTTTGACAGTAGAGAGCTGTTTACTACTAAAATTTTTGTTCCCTGTTAAAGTGCCTTTTGGTCTTGTCCATAGGGAGAACTGAGGTCTGTTTGAGTGGGTCTGTCCTCATGCATTAGACAAAACCTTATCTTAGTAAGACAAAACAGGCAGTGCTGGAGAGGTGGAATGTTTGCTGCCATGTGCCTGAACTGTTCACATGACTATCTTGAAAAGTCTTTATTGGGCTGCACTACTTTGATGTGTTCAGAACACAGTTGGGGTTAAGATCAGATTAGATTGTAACATCCTGCAATTCAGGTGTAATTTAGTTGAGACTTAAAAACAACCTAGAAAAGCAGTGGAGGCTTTAGTTCATTTACTGAAGGAAATATAGGAGTGTTGAAAAAACCCAAGTAATTTTTTTGTTTGTGATTGCTGGGGGCAGAGTGGTGCTCCTTGGAGGTAGGGATTACAGTGGGAAGAATTGCCTGCTGGTGTCATCAACAGCACTTTTGTTAATGAATGGTGAGCATTAGCAAAACCAGAAGGTGAGATATCTCTGGCCAGGAAAACTGTGTGCATTGGTGCTTTTTTTAAAGGCACAGCCATAAAGCCAGCTGTAGGATGCATTATTCTGAAGACCTCTGGAAAGTTGTACAGGAATTGCAGTGCATAAAGCAGAAGAGGAGTCAGAACATTCCTTTCCACAAAGTCAGCAGTATTGGAAAACTGTCACAGGAAAAATGAATGAAGAATGGTTTTAAGTTGTACCAAGTAGTTTTGAAAGGGGGAGAACTGGTGGCACTGGAACAAGTGTGTCCTTCCTTGGCTGGTTGAGATGGCTCAGAGCTCACAGGCAGTCCATGAAGGTCATGCTCAGCCTCCCTAGGAAAGCAGGAGGGGTCTGTCTGTGGATCTGCCTGAGCTGCCCCTCTGTGGAAGGCGGGAGAACAGCAGTGGGAGAGCTGGGAATGGAACAGTTCAGCCCCAGAGCTGCAGAGAGAAACTTCCTGTCACAGTCATACCGTACCCTGATTTTAGTACAGGCAGTATTGCACAGCTCAGGGTGTTCTGGGGGTTTGAAGGGAATGTTTGTAATGGGTGCTGTGAATGCCAAAGAATCCATCTGATAATGCAGGATGCCCTTGTTTTTAAGTTGAAGAGTAATGCTGCTGGCCTCCCCTAGCGATGTATTTATTTAAAAATTAATGAAACAACCCATGAGAACATGCTGAAATACTGGCCTCTGCTCTCATTGCTGGCAGATTGCAAGATCTGTTGCATCTGAGATAGAATTGTCCCATTTGGGCATGAGTTATTTCACTAGTGACTTGAAGCTGGCTTCAGAAGTCCAAGGGGTCAAAGGAACCTGTATATCTTCATGTTCTGATGGGTGTATTTGTGTGCTACTCAATACAAGTTTCTTGTTAGGAACCTTTGTGTAAAGACTCTCACTTCTCAGTGTTTGTCCTTGGCTGATAAGAGAGCCCCAAGAATAACATTCCAAGCAACAAAAACTTATCTTGGAAGTCTGTGCTCTTCAGCCAAATGGCCAGTGTGTATTCAAAGAGATACTGCAGAGAGTACCCAGAGCAAAACAGCAATTGCTCCTTCACTATGACAAACTGGCTGCTTTTTCTTTTTCTTCTTTTTCCTTTTTTTTTTTTTTCTTGTTGTTGCTAAATCAGTGCAATGATGGGTATTTTCAGAACCCTAGGAAACAAATAATTTGCATTCTCACCCTGGACAGAAATATTCCCTGATGTGCTTCTTCCTTGCACAGAGGAACTTTCTGTCAAGTGATTGGAGGTCTTTCCTTGTGGCATGCAGTGTTCCCCTAAGAAATGTGAATTTAGTTGGGATTTTTTCTTTATTTCCCATCTGTGGGATGAATTGCGTTACTTGGTAGTGATTCCAATTAACGAAGGGCAATGCTGGATTTTTCTCTTTGAGCTCTTAATGGTGCTTTACTGGAGGGTGGCACCCATGAAGCAGAATTATGTGTGATTTGAGGAAAATAGAAGATTCCAGGGGGGAAAATGATGGGTGTTGAGGTAAACCTGTCGAGACTGTTCTTGGAGAGGGAGGAAAAAAAATTTCACACAGCGGCCAACATAATGTTGTTCATTTATTTCAATACTTGCAAACAACCCCTCCTTGTGCCCTGCCATTTAACTGCCCCGTGTTTTGTGCTCTCTTTGATGCAGCCAAGCCCATGGAAAGCCAACAGAAACGAACACAAACCAGGCTCGCTCTCCTCCACCCGCGACTCTGCCTTTACCAGCCCGGTGTCTGTAACCAAACCAGCGGTACTGGCAAGTGGCTCAGTCCTCACCTCTCCCAAAGAGGTAAAGAGGTTGGGATTAGGGATTGGGATTTGGGAGCTTCTATCACTGTCACCTACTGTAGCTCAGACATGATAAAACCCTCTCTGTATGTGGTTCCACTTTTGCACCCTTGAGGGATGACTCACTTGCACGTTCTCTGGCACATCTTCTGATACACTGAAAGAAATAAAAATTCTAATACATTTGAACAGAGACCAATGGCTATAAACCCACTGGTCTCTGTTCAAATGTATTAGAATTTCCCTACAGTAAAAAAACCCCCAAAGTACTAATCCTTTAAATGGTGTTGTGTAACTAAACATGTATCGACTTGGTGTTATCCAAGTGCAGATACCAAGAACTGATGTGAATAGAGAGGTAAATTGATTCCCATGATGTTCTTCAGCATGGGAAAAGAAGGAAGGAAGGTGATCTGCCTAATTTCCTCACTCTAAAACAACAGCACAGGCAGTGAGCTCTGAGGGGGTTGAAGGAGTTTAACATGTGTACATGTGACTTTAGCTACAGGGTCTAATTTTGGTGTTGGAAGGAGGCAAATCTGCTGAGATTGAAATTGATTCGCCCCTGCTTTTGGTCTGAAGTGTGGAGAGAACCTTAAATACAAATCTATTAATATTTCAGCAGTAACTGTGACATAACACAAGAAAAAAAAAGAGCAAAAATAAAACGGGCTGTGATGATGATTCACAGCATTTGAAATTACCGTGATCACGTTTTAAGTGTAGAAGTGGTGTTTTTTTTTTTTTTTCAAGTTGTGTATCTGTCTTGTTTCTTTACAAATATTACTTACAAAATAAAACCTCGTCATCTTTATGATGTTCTGCTTTGCAGGCTTTACTTTGCAGCAGCCTGCACTTTCCTGCCTTAGCCACAGCTGAATGTACAAGCAGGCACTAAAGGCAATAGTTAACAAGCAGGCACCTGTCACTTTGACAGATAGATCTTAACACCTTGTTCCTTTCCCTTGCCTTGCCTTGTCTGTCTTTAGACCAAGTTCTTTGTGCTGTGTTGTTTTTAAAAAGTCCTCCTGATTAAAACTGAGCACTTGTAAGATGCTTTTCTTTGAGTCTGTTGGAGATTTAGATATAAAAATATGTGACTGTGGCCAGCACATAGTGCTGTAATCCTGGCTCCCCAGGACTGCTGCAAATAATCTCTGGCTTTTTGTTTGTGAAAGGTAATGCCCCTCCTGCAGAACCGATGAAAATAGCACCTTTATTCATGAGAGACCACAGTGTGTTGAAAACTAAAAGAGTGCCAGCTAGCACTGGCCCTGTGTTCCCACAAGCCAGCCTAAGACAACCAAATTGCAATACAGTCAGAATTCTTAAAATGATCCAGGGTATCTTTTCTGTGAGAGATGCCTTTATGTTTCAGTCAAAGGGCTAAACTTACTTCGGAAAAGATGCTACAAATGACTCCTTGTACTCCTTTAGTGCTAAAATAGAATATTCTGTAAAACATAACCATTCAGAAATCTGTTGTTTCTAAACTTAAGCTATAACTGTCTTCCCCTAATGCATATAAATTAAGTTTTAGTACCTGAACAGCTTATTAAAGATTAAAACAGCCACTAGCAATGAGTTCAAGTAGAGTATTCCAAGTTACTAGAAGACATCTAATTTTAGTCTCCTTTGTTCATTGTTACCTTTTGTCACTGCACTCAAACTAGTTGTCTCGTTGAGAGCTTAATTTCAGTACTGTTTTGGCTTTTTATCCCGATAGTCACAGTCACTTGTTAAGTCTGTAACAAACTGGTGATTTGTTCCTTACTGTGTTGAATTAGGCAAAATCCAAGAAGGCTGCCTGGGAAATGTTTCCTGTAAGGCATTACCTCCAGCCTGCATTTCCCTGAAGGTTTTATTTCACACCAGTATTTCACGTGCAACAGGCATTAGAAATTCAAGCAGCAGTTGCTGCCTTGTTTTTGTTCTAGTTCCCTTGATCTTTGCTCAGAGCACCGCGAGTGTGATAAAATTTTTTGGCAAAGGAGATTTGTTTTGAAGAGCCTGGAATCGCAACCTTCTTCCCCAGCTTAAAAAAAATGGGGAGAAAAACACTGCAGACTTTTGGAGATGCTACTGTTTTGATATTGAAAAAAAAAAAAAAAAAAAGAAAAGCAACCACATGAAGGAAAAGAGTAATTTTGCATTGAAGATTCTGCTGTCAGGGTATCCATAATAATGATTACATTGTTTTTGAGTAGCTAGACATGAATTCCACACGACGAGCAGGAGGTTAAGATATCAGGAAAATTCACACAACGTTTGTTTAGTCTTCTCTTGTGTGCCCAGTCAAAATCACGGAACAGATTAAATTGAAAGCTCACCTTGGTTAGCAGTGCTGCTGCTGCAGGATCAGGGCTGGGGCAGTGCCAGTGGGGCAACTGCTGTGCCGTGCCTGCTTCACAGCCCTGGATAATTAAGAAAACTTAAACACCGTGGAAGAGCACAAGGGGTTTCCTGGGATTGGTGCACCGAGTTGAGCAGGTTTCCCCCAGGCTCCAGGTTTGTCTGTGTCTGGCTCCACACTGAACCATCTGGGCTGAGTGTACAGAGCAAGGAGTTGGCAGCCTGTTCTCCAGGGGAGGATCCCGAGGCTGTGGCTGCTTGTTTCACACCCGGTTGTGGTTAGTTAAGGATGTGACCTGACCACTCCCTGAAAGGAGATTACCTCCCCATAGCTAATTTCAGGGTAGAGTCTGTCAGGATGACTTAAGAAGCAAATTTGAACTGAGGCTAATCTCCTTAATTTGTTAAGTTTTGTAGGGCAAGAATCCTGCATGAAGTTTTCTGCCCTAATATTCTGTTGTTGGCTCAAGCTTGCTTGGGAGAGTTATATTGCCAAGGAACAAAACAAATATGGCCATGTGAATTGAGTCCTGAAGGGAGGGGAAATTGAGGTGATAATAATAGATGGGAGAACAGTGTGCTGGTAAGGGGAGAGGTGAATGTGCAACACCCATCAGTATTTTGATTGGAATTTGACACTAGACTGGGGGGGATGTTGAGGGGTTAAGAGCCACCCAAAGAACTGATGAGTGTTTGAAAGGTGTAAGCACAGACACTGGAGAGAAACTTTGTGGCAACACCATTTGAAATGGTCTGTGTTCTCCCTCCCCTGTGCAGAGTCCTTCCAGCACCACCCCTCCCATCGAGATCTCCTCGCGCCTGACGAAGCTGATGCGCCGGACCACTGATAAAAAGAGCGAATTCCTGAAGGCACTGAAAGATGATAGAAACGGGGAGATAACAGAGAACAGGGAATGTGACAAGCTGGATGATGTAAGATCACTGTCCTTGAATATATGATCATAATGAGTTAAGGAGCTGGAGACTGAAGAAGCCCCGAGCGGTGTATGTAGTTCAGGGCTGTGGAGGAGGAAAGGCGTGACTCCCTCTGGTCTGGCACATGTGCCAGCAGATGCAGTGCACGGCACTGTGATGGAGGGGGATGTGTAACACAGAAATGCAAACAGATAAGTAATAAATGAGGTGGAAGGGAAGGTCACAGATGTTGAAGGTAATCTAGATTTTTTTGCAAGGATTCTCTAAGGAGTGGAACAATACCATATTCTTACATCTCTGTTTTGCTTTCCAACTTCCTTGTCAATCTGCATTCACGGGCAGGTAGAACTCTGTGCTTGTGTAAGGGGCAGGGTTGTGGCTTAAGCCACAGAGGCTCAGACCAGACTCCTGAACGCATAATCTGTGCCTTAATGTGTATGTAAAGCGTGTCCTTAGGAGCATTTAATTCTGGTAGTTTTCTTGCCATCACTCTGAAGCCCCTGGTGATGGCTTTGTGGTGCCAGCACTCACAGCAGCACAGTCCACCCAACATCCTTCATCACGCGTTGTCCTGTCACGGCCAGGTACAATCCGTTATCAGCCAGGCTCTGTAAAAAAACACAGGCTCAAGGTGAAAGGCTTGGCTGGACTTCCAAAGGCAGGAGGAGCTTGAACTTGGAACTGTGCTTTTGTGTGTTGGCACACTCTGATGCTTTTATTTTTCTTTAGATGGAGAGCAACAGCACACCAGAACCAAAGGAAAACTGGGACGAGAATTGCCATCAGAATGGCCTTTCTCTCCCTTTGCCGGAGGAGGGGGAAAACCTCTCCCATTCGCTGGAAGCAGAACACAGGTGAGTAAATGGCAAAATAAAGTCTCTGAAGTAAGGGAGGGTGAGTCCTTGGGCTGTGTGAGGAGAAGGAAGTTACTTCAAAGAAAACTCAATTTTTGGGAAGCAGCAGTAGCTTTGTGTGTGTATGGAGCAGGAGGTGTGTGGGCTTTGTAACTAGTGCTGGACTGGGCAGGGTCTTACTGAAAGTGAAACAAGACACCAGTGACAGGTGAGCCAAGGCTTTACCAAGGTGTGTAATTAAATTCCAGTGCTGCTTTAGTGCCACATCCCCGTATGCTAATGCAGCCTGGATATTTAGTTGCCCACACTGGGGGTCAGCATGAACCTGGTGTGATTCTAGTTAATTTACAAGCAGGTGTCCTGCATGGAATGGTTTGAGGACACACACACCACATTTTGTTTGCATTTAGAATACTCCTGTGCTACTTTACATGCTGCAGAAGTGGAGGAGAGCTAAGAAAATATTTGCCTGGTATCTCAATCTGTATCTCACATCAGTGAGTAAGCACTGTGAGCATCTGGTGCAAGCGGATAGTGAGGTTTAGGAGATTCTGAGCCGTGATACTGGTTTGGTTGCTTCGTGTCCTCCTTCAGTGTCCTTGGGCTGGAATTTCAAATCCCTGCCTTCCACCAGGCTGGTTATTTACCCATTGTACAAGACTGCTGATGGTAAATACTTGTAAAAGACGTTGAAAACTATTGGGTAAACACAAAAGGTTGTTGAAGTGGTCTCTGATAGAGAAGATTCCCTGGTGAATTCGGGGTGATTTAGTACCAAACCTCGTGCTTCACAGACAAAGGGTTCTCTCCTTCCCCACTGTTCCCTCGCTTTAGTTCCCACGCCCCTTTTATTTTCTCCACAATCAGGTTACTGAAAGAAATGGGATGGCAGGAATATCCTGAAAATGATGAAAACTACCTTCCCCTCACGGAAGATGAGCTCAAAGAGTTCCAGATTAAATCAGAGCAGGTATGTTTACACCTCTTGCCACTTGTCACTGCTCTTCTCCCTCTCCCTTCTCATGCACGAGTCTTCTGTGGGGTCATTCTTAAGGATGTTCAAGAAGACAAAGAATTGAAGTGAGACTGTAGTGACTCTGCATTATCCCTGCAGAGTGCGTGTATACACAGTTAAATATGTAATTTGTGTCCACGCATGGTTAGGGACAGTTACTGCCCACAAGTTTACTTGTTTTAAAACTTGCTTTCATTTCTACAGCGAAGAAGAAATGGATTTGGGAAGAATGGATTTCTTCAGGGCCGCGGCTCCAGCCTGTTGTTCCACTGGAGAAGCACTTTTAAGACAAAGATTGAGGACTCAGACACAGAAACTAGTAGCAGCGAAACGTCAGATGACGATGCCTGAAACTGGGCACAATAAAATTAAAATAAATAAAACCAACCCAATAAACTCAGTTCATAGTTCAACACGTGTTTGGGGTTGTATAAACTAAACAGAGTTTATTCTGTCTCCAGTCTGTTCAGTTTTTTTCTTTTGTTGTTGATACTTCATGCACAAGGGAAATAATTGTATCCCAAAGAAGAGACAAAATTGGCTTCTTTAGCTTTTTCTTTTGGTTTTGCCCTAATGCTTACTAGAAGTTTGTGCAGCTAGCAAATTTTGACAGAAATCCCTTGTGGGGCAGTGCACAAGTTCAGTCGTGTGAGCAGGACACAAGTGGCTGACTGATCTCTGCAACAACAAGCTTCTAACAGTGCCGCCGCATTGCCCAGTGCCGCGCGGTAACGGTGTGCTAAAACAATCATTGTCGATGACAAAAATGGCTTTTGAAGTTCTAATTATGTTAAATTAATGCTAATAACATGGATATTTTATTTTATTTTATTTTTTTCTTTTGGCGGCTCGGGGAGCTTCATCACTTAACCAGGCGTTTGTGGTTTTCCTTTTTTTTTTTTTTTTTTTTTTTTTTTTTTTTTTTTTTTTTTTTTTTTTTTTTTTTTTTTTTTTTTTTTTTTGGGTACAGCTGTAAAATATTTGGATATAGGAATTGTTTGTGTTCTTCTTCTTGCAGCCTTGATATTCAGGGTGGATTGTAAAATATAAATTTTTTGTGAGATTTCAAAGATTAAGATTATTTTGATAACATTATTTACAGATTTTAAAAAGTGACTATCACATTGAGTCTGTATGAGGGGGAAAAACTACTGCATCAAAAATAACTAACTTGGAATAAATATTTTGCATCAGTTTGCCAATTCTAATTGTCTTTCTTATGTAAGAAGAGCTTTCCTCTAAGGGACCTGAAACTCTGGGGGTTCAGTAGCACTGGGGATAAACTTTTTCTTCTCCCACTCTATATTTCCTCTTGGCAAACATTGCTGTAGCGCTCAGACTGCAGGAACTGAACTCTTCCTGTAAGAAGGGAGAGGGAGAACAATGCTGAGATGACAGCCCATGCTTGGGTGTTGTTTTTTTTAAAGAAAATAATGGCAATTATCTCCTACTAAAGCAGTTTGCTCTTTTTTTTTTTTTTTCCGCTTCATACAAAACGGTGAAGCTCGACCGGTCGGTGTCACTTGTTCCTAGTGCAATGCTGCTGTTTATGTTCACAACGTGGCAAGGGAATGTCTGAATCCAAAGCTGTTTTCATTGAAATCTTTTTTAAAAATTCATGAAAACATTTCTATTAGATTAAAAAGAATTTTACAAACAACTCAGTTGTGGCCTAAGCTATTTTAGTGTCCGGTGTAAGTTCAGCTTGTGCACAAAGGTTTTGGAGTGGAAGGCGCTGGGTTGTTGGGCAGTGTTTGCAAGTGGGTTGGTTGGAGTTGCACAGCGAGAGTGAAACACTGGGCCTGCTGAGCTGAGGGGATTTCACGCGAGGTTGTTATGCCTATGTGGTTTTAGTCCACTCCTGGCCAGGCAGGGAGGACAGAGATGTAAGAAAATTGTAATGTTTAGCCATGAATCTTTGCGTCTGGGCTCAAGGGAGCACTGTCAGCATTATCAGGTGTAACTGTGCTACCTCTGCTTTTCAGCTCCCACCACCACAGTGATGCTGCCTCTGCAGGGAACCCCAGGTGAGAGGAGTAATGGGGCATTTCTTCATCACTGCCTTCTGGAAACTGAGCTCCAGGGGCTGGGTCTGCCTTGGAATGCTTGGGGAAGTGTTGGGACTCCTGTAAGACAGACATTTTACAGATTGCCTCATTCTTTTTGAATGTCTTTGTGCTTTGGTCCCATCAAACACGGCTTCTGGCTGGAAAAGGCCATCCATGTTTAAAAAGACTAAACTTCCTACATCCATTTGAATCAAATTATGCATACCTGTTGTGTGCACTGTTGGCAAGAAATGGGGTAAGTTTAAAAGGCCCCTCACGGTAAATCCGTGCCGACAGCCACTTGGAACAGAGTACCTGGATTGCTGAGGAATCCCTGCCTGAGAAAACGAGCACCCCGAGGCAGAGAATGTTTTGTAACCAGGGAGGGAGAGCTCTGCGGGACCACCCTCATCTTGTTTTCCGGGGATTGCTCAGGTGCCCAAGCCATTATTTTATTTTTTTTTTCCCCGTTCCGGTGCCCGCGGTAACAATGGGAATGGCCGAGGCCCCGGGTGCGGCCGCACTCCCTGCCCGGCCCAGCGTCCAGCATAGCAACAGCGGCTCCAAACAGCCGCCAACACACCCGGCAGGTCTGAGCCCGCACCCAGCCCTCTCCCTGGCAGGGTGGCCCCCACGAGTGACCCCCCCACCCGCTCTGCTTCCCAGGGTGCCGGGCATGGGCAGCTCCCTGTGCCCCCGCTGCCGCATGGCCTTCAGCTCCCGGCCGCTCCTGAGGGCGCACCAGGAGAAGCTGTGCCTCGGCATCCCGGAGCCCGGCAGCTCCTGCCTCCATGAGGAGAAACCTCCGCCTGTGGAGGGCACGGCAGGAAGGCCACAGGACACCTCGGTAATCTGGAGCTGGGTCTGTCACAGAACGGGGAGGGGGAGGAGGGATGAGGATCGGGACAGGGACAGATGCTGGGCTGGGCAGCAGCATCTCGGCCAGCATGGCTGGATCCAGCTTGGCCTGAGCTGGGGCCACGCTCTGCCCTCCCCTCCACTCGGGCAGCCCTTGGTGCTTATTTTACTAAAGGCAGAAAAGTATATGAGTAAATGGGGGGATTTTTTTCACCCTTTCCTTCCTGTTTTTGTCTGCGAGGTCGGGGTGTCCCAGCATGGGGACGGCCCTGAGCCACACCGTCGCCTTGAGCTTCCCGGGGTCTCACCGGCTGTGTGGGGACAGCGGGGACCAGGGTGGGCACGGGGGGCTCCCCTGGGGGCCGTGCTCACCCCCCGCGAGAGGGCCCTGCTCCGCACGGCCGACCCCGGGTCCAGGAGGCCCCTGGTGGAGGTAGGGTGACCCCCCTGCCCCTGGGGGCACCAGCACCCCCACAGCTCCCCACACCCCACGGCTGGTGGGGGGCCGGCCCCTCCTGCCCTCTGAACACCCTGTACAGCAGGGAGAGCCCCCCCAGCAGCCGGGCCCGCCGCAGGGACACCAACAGCCACCACAGGAGCTGCTGGAGGCCCACGAACGCCAAATGGCCGAGATCCGGGCCAGGACCCGGCAGCTGGAGCAGCAGAGGGAAGGTAGGCACTGGCAGCAGTTTAGGGGTGATGGGGGGCACGTGTGGGGTGCAGCGACCCCCAGGGAGTGGGGCTGTGGGGGCTGTGCTGAGCCCCCCTGTCCCTTCACCGTCCCGCAGGGCTGTGCCAGCAGCTGGCGGCACTGGGGGCTGTGAGGCCCCAGCCCGAGCAGGGGGAGCTGGGGCTGGGCCAGGTCCTGCAGGCCCCGAAGGAGCAGCTCAGATGGGTGCAGGCGGCCCAGCACAGGTGAGCCCCGGCCTGGGGGGGGGGGCTCTGCCACCTCCAGGGGAGAGCCCAGTGGGGTGCTCTCCATTAGGGAGCCTTTGGCTTCCTCACCCCCCCCCCATTTGCCTGTTTCCTCCCCAGGGCCACCCTCCACCTCGACACCCTCCTGCCACCCGCGGGGCCACTCTCTGCCGAGGCCAGGTGAGGGGCTGTGGGCCACGGCAGGTCCAGCAGAGCATCCCACCCAGCCCAGCGATGGCTGATCGGGGGCTCTGGCAGGGCACTGCGACTGTCCTACCTGCGCGCTGGGGGACACGACCCGGCCATCCTGGACCAGCTGCTCCACCTCCAGCTGGAGGCCACGGTGCTGGAGAGAGGAACCCCAGGGCTGCGTGGGGGAAGGAGGATGGGTAAGCCCCAACCCCAGCCCCGTCTCCCTGCAGGGACCGTGACTCCACAGCCGGCACCTGAGGCACCCCCGGCTGTGCCAGCAGAGCCCCCTGGCACTGGCACACAGGGTCTGGATGCGGCACTGCTGGCTGTGGAGCTGGAAAACTGGCGTCTGGAAGATGAAGTGTTGGCGCTGAAGGTCAGGAGGGAGAGAAGAGCCGACGCTGGTAGGTGATGGGTCCTGGGGAAACGGGTCCCCAGCTGTGCACCCCACAGCCCCTGGATGCCTCTGGGGCTGCAGCATCAGAGCCCCTGGGCTGGACATGACTCATGGAAATATGGGCAGGGTGAGGGGGCTGCAGCTGCACAGCCTGGGGTGGGGTCTCTGCACTGAGCAGAAAGAGTCCCAACGCCCCCCAGATCCTGAACACTGGCCTGGTCAGATGCTGGGGAAAGGGTTACTGGGGGAGTGCAAACCCCACAGCAAGGAATTCCTGTCCCCAGGCTCGAGGGTGGCTCAGCAGCACTCGGAGGAGCTGGCCCAGCTGCAGGCAGAGGTGGGGATGCTGCGATGCCACGCGGAGCAGACAGGGCCACGGGTGCCCCCACCCATCCTCCCACACCCTGTGGACCCCCCATTGCCACCAGCCCTGGCTGTGCCGGAACTTTTTATGGTAAGAGCCTCGGCCCAAGGCAATCTCTAGTTCTCCAGGTAGGGGAGAAGGGAGATGGGAGAAGGGAGAAGCTGCCAACTGGGATAGGATGAGGGGTGTGGAGGTACAAGCTTGGGAAGATTTGGGAACAGCAGCCTGGGCTGCAGCTGGGGATAGGGCCCCTGGAGCAGGTGAGTCCCTTCCTAAGGATGGAGCAGGGCTGTAATTTGCTCTGCACACCCAATGCCATGACAGAATGGCCAGGCAGCTCCTGCCTGTGCCTGTATCAGGACAGTGCAAGGACCCTCCTGCCCTTGATACCAATTTTTTTTCATTTCCCAGGAGCCCCCCAGGCCAGCACTGGGGCCAGGCAGCCCCACAGCCCACGTGCCCCATGGCCTCCCCCTCAGCCCTTTTGTGGCCCTAGAGGACCCTCCTCCTGCTCAGGAGCCCCCAGAACAACACAAACCTCCACGAAGGTGAGCCAGGAATGGGCCACACTGCCCTGGCATTCCCTCACCACCCTGGAGGGGGAAATTGGGGCTCTATTAACTGTTGGGGTGATGAAAGGATGGCAAAACCTGTGAACTTCAGCAAGATGGGGCTTGGGAGTGACTGGGTAAACGGCACCAGGAACCCAGTCCTGGGTGGGGAGAAGCATTTGGGATCCCTGCTGGGAGCAGAGAGGTTCTGGGCATTTTGGCAGCATTAGGCTGACCCCCAGGCCAGCAGCCAGAGTTACACAGCTCAGCCTCCACCTCAGGCTGCTCTTGTGCCCCAGGACTGAGCCCACAGCCAGCTGAGTGTTCCACCCTGCGCACAGTGGTGGTTTTGAGGACAGGCACAGAAGCACAATCACATTCCCCATGGCTCAGCTTGTTCCAGCAGGCACATCACCATCAGCCTTTAGCAGGGAAAGCCTGACCAGAGGCAGGCACAGCCACATGCTGTGTGTTTAATAAATGGTTTCAGCCCATTGCTCTTCCCTTCTTGGCCCTTCTCTGTTTAAACACCCCCCCTGTCCCAGAGCAGGCTCACATCTCCACCTTGCCCAGGGGACAGCTATGCCCTGCCTGGAGCCACCCCTGCCTCCATTTCCACAAGGTCTCACTGCACAAAAGGGCCGAGCTAAAAATCCACGTCCAACAAGGTCCAGGATGTTACAAAGCTCTTCATCAGCCTTCCCCCCCCACCTCTTTAGGCTGCTCAAGGCCGAGGGAGGCACCCCCAGAACCCATTGAAGGCTTAGCTAAGACTGAACCCAAACACAGCCCCAGCTGTGACCACAGAGCTGGTGCACCAGAAGGAAAAAAGGTCACATCTAGACTGTCCCCACACAAGACCATAATGAATTTCAGTCACTGCTTTTCCTTCCCTCCAAGCAGCCAGCCCTGCCTGCCCCATCCCATCCTCTACTCCTGCCTCGTGAGGCAGATGTGGATGGAAATGCTGAAGCTCAAGGGACTTAGAGCCCAGCACTGGGCCAGGGCGGGGACTGCACCCCAGGGGAACAGCCAGGAGCAGAGGCTGGAACCTGGCACAGGAGGAAGGTCATGACAGGGACTATTTGCTTACAATCTTTATTGAAGTCATACAAAAGTTGCCAAAAAGTGAAAAAATACACTATATACAAAACCATTTTCCTTGTAAGGAGAGGAGTGTCCGAGGTTAAAGAATTATCATACTGTGCTTTCAACTGCAGCCCCTGATTCTGCTTGTGGCCTTTTCTCTGTCTAAAAGAGAAGAGAAGGGTTTGTTTTAAAAAAACCAAGACACTGCCTTACAGCACCAACTCATGCAGCAGCCCAAGGGTTCTGTAATTTGAAGATTTAACTGACTGCATGAGCTTTGCTTGAGTCCAGAGCCCAACACTACCCCAAAGCACTGACATGAACAAGTGCAGCCCAGGGGTAGGGTAATAAAACCCAGGAGTATGAAAAAATGGGGGAAAGACCCTATGCTGGAGTTTAGCCCAGCTCAGACTCCCAGAACCCGTCTCTGTCCCACCCCAGAGGTGACAAAGCTCCACAGCTGGGTCTGTCCAGCCCACACAGGGTCAGGCACCACAGTACAACATGCATCCTGCCCACTGGGAATATTCCCCATCCCATCAGGGAAGCCCTGTGGGAGGCCAGCAAGCAACAAAACCAGCACATCTACCAGGCACAGAACTATCCCTGAACTGAGTGGGGGGGGGGGGGAAATGAAATAAAAGGCACAGCCCAGACTCCTGGCTCAGGTGCCCACCTCCTCTTCCATTTTTGCTGCAACCTCATTTCCACTGGGGGCAGGATCCCCACCACCACCATTGACAGCCGGTTCTGGTTTAGATTTCTTGGCTTCGTTGTCTCCCTGATGAGCCTCCTCCTCTGGTTTCCTCTGAAGACAAAATTGTTTATAGGCTTCAATAAGTACAAATTAAAGTTTTAATCTTTTTTTTGAGAAACTCAGCATGAGAGGTTGTTGCACATTATCCACCCAAGCTGTGCTTGCCAGGCTGAGGGCAGACACCTCAGTGTGAGGGTTTAACTGAGCTCTGAGGCTCTGGCTCCAAGGTCTCAACCACAGCAATCTCTAGTGAGACACTGTTTGGGTGCCAGAATCTCTAGTGCTGAGTTATCCCTGATTACACTCTGGCAAGGAAATGCAACCACTGAGCCCAGTAACAGTTCCAGGGTAGGTTTAGGGCAGCTAAAACACTTGAAATCACCCTGTGTAAAGCAGCTCTGAGTCACTGCAGGCACACCTGAACTGACAGAGGCCAGGCTGTGCCACGGCCACAGGCAACATAAAAACTCAAGTTCCTACAGGGGATACTCTTGTTTATATCAACAAACACCTCCAGAGAACACACAGACCTTGAAAGGAACAAAGTGCTCAACACCTCATCTCTGTAAGAGACCATTTATCATCAACATCACTCTGGCTTTGCTCTTTATTAAGCCCAAGTCTCCATTTCCTTTTGGAAAGAAGGGAACAGCCCAGCCTGGGGTTCCCTGCCCCTTCCTTGAGATCTGCAGGTGGCCCTGCTGCTCTTGAGGGTCCTCAGCAGAGGAAGCCCCTGTTCAGAGAACATCTGCAGAAGCCACACAACAGAGTCAGAAGTTACACCAGGGTCAAGAAGTTATGATCAACAAGTCATTTCTGGACTCACCTTTTTCCTGACTAGGTGAGAGATGTCTGTAACACACTGAGATGCACCATCAGCTGCTTTTCTTACTGGAATCTGTTACAAGACAGACACTGACACATGAGCAACTGCAACCAGTAATCCTTAGAGCAGACAGGAATTAACAACATCCACCTTAAATTAACTTACCGTGGAAACAGAACCACTGTCTTCACTTTGTGCAAAGCCAGATGTAGTTCCAATCTTAAGAAAAGCAGAAGAAGCAGTGAACAGATTGTGTTCAGACCATTCAAGCAAGCTTAGCAGGGGGCAGAAAGCCCAACCCCTTTAAGTCCCAGCACTGCACTCTGCACTTCTGCACAGGACAGACAACATCACCTCCAGCCCTGACACATTAAATGCCATAGAAGCCTATCAAATTCCCATTTAGTTTGGAACAATTACTCTCAAGGTACTTACTAAATATCCTTTCTTTAGAAGTCAGCTGCCTCAGTTTCCTTCTCAGAATCACAGCCTGTAACACCTGTGAGCAACCACCAGCCCCTGATCAAGTCCAAGCTCCTCCCATGACTGATTATTACTTAAAGTTCCACTGGAAGAATGCTGGGTCAAAAGGAAGTCACAGGACACACTCACCAGAGTTGCCTTCAGTCCCAGCTCAGCTACTCTTGCACTCTTTTGAGACTCCTTTGAATCTTCTATCTTTTCTTTAATTTCAGGAAGCAATCCCTTCAGCTCTTCAATCTCCTTCTCGTCCTCAGGGGACCCACTTTCTGCTTGCTTTATCCTCTCAGTCAGAATTGCTGGGGTGAAACAGTTATCAGGGCAAAACACCTTGAGACAAAGTAACTGTCCAGTTATCAACATGCAGAGACAGCTATCTGCTAACACACACGGCTTCCACAATTCTGCTACGGGTGTGGTTTGCCTGTCACCGCCTGCAGAGCAGCAGACACGGCACGGCAGGCAAGGAGCAACATCTCAGTTAAACAAAGTCTGCTGTGCCTTGACAGAACACTCTGACAGAGCCTGAGAAAGCCACTCACCCAGTCTCTTGTCGATGACCTCCATGGACTTGCCGAACTGCAGGACGGCCTCGTCGAAGTCGCTGTTGTAGTGGTAGGCCAGGGCCAGCTGGTAGTGGCTCTCGGCCAGCAGACGGTCATGAGCCTCCAGGTACTTCTGCTGCAGGGCCAGGCAGGACTGGAACTCCTCTATGGCCTGTGTGTAGTTTTCTACGGGAGAAAAGCCACGAGGTCTTCGCAAACAATGCCGATTCTCCAAACAATCCCAGCCCCCATCCCATCGCTTTGTGTTTTGTTACACCCCGCACCCTCCGCAAACAGAACCGGCAGTCGAGGTCAGAGCTGCTCTCAGGTGATCAGCTGACAGCACCGCCTCCCCCTCAGAGATGTCTAGTCCAGTTCCTTAAGTTCTCTCAGGAGTGTTTTGTCTACTTCCAGCACGGTCAAACCAGGCACTAAATCCTCCTGTTTAACCTTGGTACCACGAATTGGATGTGACGGTTCCCAGCTGTGACACGGACCTGGAGCCAGTGACAGCCCCCTGCCACCCTCCCACCAAGCTCTGAAGGTGCTCCACTGACACAAGATAACCCTTGATTTGTAGCCCTGTTGGATCATTTCCAATGCCTGCCCCAGAGAAGGAGTACACTTGGATTTAACAAGATCAAATTATGTTTTTAAAGGAAAGGCAGGTGAAACATCAGAAGGCACAAACCTGGGGCTTGCTTCCCACTCCTTTTTTCTGCTGTGTAACACAAGAGTCTTTCCTCACTACACCTGAGGATTTTGGAAAGTCTAAGTCAACCATTTTTAATTTGCAGTCTTTATGTTCTGACATGGCATGGTACTGGCACCTCCTATTAATTAAGCTCAGTGACTCTCTACTTCAATAAGTCTCTTTTAAGTTCATAGGCAAGGTTTGGTTTTCTTACTCGAATTTTTCTTTCACTGCTCTGGAAAAGCACAATTATCTCATTTAAGGCACCAAGTCAGTTCATCCATTGATGCCAAAGCTTCTCACATGGCTGCAACTACCATGATCAGTCTAATTTGTTTTTATCCTGAGTGCCCTAACTCACCTCTCTGCTCATTTTAAAGTACAAAACAGTGTCAGAAAGTGGAACTGAACACTATGCACATGAGAATTAATGCTTCTTACCAGATTCAATGCTAACTTCTCCTAACTTCAGATGAGCTTGAGCTGCATGGAGCTGAGCTTCTTTTGTTTCTTGCCTAAATCAAGAAAAAAAAAAATTAGTTTCCAGGTCCTGATCAGAATATGCCACAGTCACCAACTGGTTACGCCACCCTCCAATTTACAGAGTTTCTCTGGCATATATCCAAATCAGAACTCAAGTCTTTACCTCTTATAAATGACTTTTGCTAACTCCAGCATGTCCCAGGCTAGCTCAAGATTTCCAATTTCATCCTCCTCACTTTCCTGTAAAGACCAGAAGTTCATGAGAGATTAAATGTCTTGGTTACAGATCACATCAAACACCGCCACTAAATCCCTAAGGAATCCATTCCTTCAAGAGGTAAACAGTTTACCACTAGAAGGAGAAAAAGAACAGGAATATGCAGAAGAGGTTATTGCATCAATCAAGACTTTGTCTGCAGCGAAGATGGTTCAGTGGAACATAAATTCACACTGTCTGTTGATCTGGCCTTATTAATTTTTTCCCCCCCAGAAATATCAGGGCACCAAGTACCAATATTACCTCAAGAGGAAGATTTTATTTAAGATGCTATTTAGATCTACCTTTTTTTTTTTTTGTAATGAACCTTTGAACTTTATTAGAGTAGTCTGAGGAAGGGACAGACAATCATTTAAAGACAGTTATCTAGAATGCAGCTCTCCCTGCCTACCCCTGCACTCCCAGGCCACGTTACTCAGCAGACCACAAGAATTTGTTTCAGAGCAGCTGAACAAACCCAAGTTTACAGACACAGTTGAGCAAGATCCCACAGTGTGGACAAGGTACAATTCCTTAGGCAACACTGGTTTTCAAAAGTAATTTCCTACATAGGACTAAATAAAACACAGGTGAGCTTTTAAAACACGATCTTTAGGGTAACACTGCACCCTCCCCTGAGCGCCGCTATCAGAGCTCAGCAACCTCACCTTGTCTTCCACTGTCAATTCATTCTCCTTATCATCTTCAGCTTTATCGTTTTCTTTATCCTCCTCCTCAGATTCTTCTGCTTCTACAAGGCAAGTAGATGGATGAGAACACTTGTTGTTCCTGTGCTTGCCTGACATGGAGTTGGGCAGAATGTTACATCCAGCCCTCATCCTTCCAGTGACAGGTTAGAGGTGTGATGCAAGAAGAGCACAGATACATTAAATCCTCAGCAGCAGCAGCAGCAGCCATCTTGCTGAAACTGTTCAGCACTGCAGACTAAAGTAGTCTGTAAGTTCAACTTCTTACTGCCTACAACAGGGACTTACACAGAATTTAACTCTCACAAGTACACCGTGAGCTCCCACTGGAGCCATGGAGTCCTGAGCACCCCAGAGGAACTGGGCAGCTGCTCAGCTTCATCCTCCACAAAACAAGTATTTTCAGCAAGATAGCTGCCAAGCTGCACACAAATTAGTCTGAGTTCGTGTTCCTCATGTCAGGGATTTAAGTGGCAATGTTATTAATGAACCTCCTGTTGCGTAGCGCTAACTTGACTTCTGATACCCTGCAGGGGCATCATATTATCTATTCTGCCAGCAGAAAACTTTTTGGGAAAATGTGCAGTGAAGGAGCACAGCTAATAACTTCAGAGAATTGGCTGATCTGAATGCTGAAGTCACACAACTCCTGTATCACAACCTCTGGCTAATTCCAGAACAACAGGAGCTTGATGGGGTGGGGACTAGGGAGCCTGTGAACTCATAAGTCTAACTCCCAAAAAGGTTTATGTTCAGTCACACTCTCTCCACATAGGCAACTTGTTAGGCTGCTGCTCCACCACTGAGCATTCACTGTGCTAGGCAGAACAAATCCTTTCGGTGTCCACAACTATTTAGTCTGAACATCTGCCTCTCCTGAAGCTGAGCTACTGACAGGCAAAGTTGCAATTATCAGCTCATCAATTAACTTGTGCAATAAGTGCAACCAGCCTACTGAGGCCATGTACAGTAACACTGCAGCAAGGGGTGCAAGTCTTGCTGGGTTACTCCAGCAAAATCCTGAAAACAGCTATGATAAAGCAGGGAAGCAGAGGGCAGAAGCTGGACAGCTGGAGGATTGCACTAGAGAGCAGCAATAAGCCTTCAGCAAATCAAGTTTAGGTTTGCCAACTAAATTCTCACTAGCAATGGACCACCAGGAAGACTCGAATGAGGAGTTCCTTCCCTCCACCAAAACTGAATTTACTGTTTTGTGTTCAGCTATTCTTGTTTTTTCATCACCATTTAAAAATAAAATACAGGCATAACCAGAGGCAACTTGTGCTTCAAGTTATTTGGAGGTTAGTGCAATAAACCCCGATGCATGCAAGTGAACATCCATTCAGTATTCTCCACCAGCCTGGCCAGTACTTACACATTTTACAGGGCTGTCAGTTTGCTTTCAAGTCAGATTTGCTTTGCAGTTAGTTAAGCGTTAGTCTAGAGAGACTGAGACTATTCAACTATTCCTTGAAACTTTACTTGGATGTAAAGTCCTTCAAGAGCCCCTTTACTGTGCCTTTTCCTTATTCTAAGGCAAACAGAAAATTCTGAATGGAACACTTTTTACCCATGGTTAGCCAAATCCATCAAGTCATCCACCCACAAGTACTTTTCTCCTCTCAGTGTTACCTTCTCCCTCTTCCATCAGGTCATCTTTCTCTTCTTTTTCTACCTTAGCACCTTCACCCTCTTCCACCAGGTCATCTTCCTTTTCCTCTTTCTCTACCTTAGCAGCAACTTCAGCCTTTTCTTCCAGGTCACTGGGTGGCTCTTTGCCCTCTGTGGGCACAGGCTCCTTTGAGGACTCTGTCTCTTTAGATTCACCTGGTTTCTCTTCCATAGCTGTCTCTACTGACTCTTGTTTCTCTTCCACCTTCTTCTGCTCAGCTGCCTCTGTTTCCCCTTCTGCAGCTTCTTTCTGTCCCACAGCAGCTGCTGCCTGGGCTTCTGCCTTCTCTTCTGCTCCTGCCTTCTCTTCCACAGCCATCTCTGCCTGCCCTTCTCCAGCCTCTCCCTTCTCCACAGCTGGCTCTTTTTCTGTTGCTTCTGCTGCCTGTTCTCCTGCCTCTCCTTTCTCTTCCACAGCCGCTTCTCCCGCTTCAGCCTCTTCCCCAGCTGCCTTTGCCTCCTTGTCTGACACTTCTGTTCTCTCTTTCTCCTCAGTTGCCTTCACCACCTTGTCTTCAGGCACTGCTTTCTGCTCTTTTTCTACCTCCTTCTCTTCCACAGCTGCCTCTTCTTTCACAGCCTCCTTTTCCACAGCCACCTGCTGCTTCTGCTCTTCTGAAGTTTCTTCTTTTCCCACAGAAACCTCCATCTTCTCTTCAGCCTCTTCAGGCTTCACATCCCTGTCAGCAGTTGCTTCTTCTTTTGGTTTCTCTTCTGTAACCTCCTTCATTTCATGACCTTCCTCTTTGATTTCCTTCTCAGACAGTACTGGAGACTCCTCTGTAGACTTTTTGGCCTCTTCTTTTTCCCCCATGGCATTATAAACCTGTTCTCTCAACTCCTCCCTCGCTTCTTCTACATGATTGAGGAAGCATAAACATTCCTTCGAGTTTAGTGATAAAGACATTAACTGACAACACCACCCTCAGACCCTCCAGTGTGTGTTGGTTTGTTACCAAGTCGGATGACACTCCTTAAAAAAAGCTTCATTTTCCAAGTACAAGGAATTAGGACACAACCAACAACAATCACTCTGAGCTAAGCAAACCCCTTCCCCAGCATTGCAAGCGGCCGCTCAAGCAGTGCCAGCGATTTTAGTCACAGCTAAGCAAGAGGTGCCAGTGTTTTAATAGTCTGGATGGACAGGAATTCCTGTGTCATCTCCAGCTGCAGGCGGTATAAAATAGTTACTGTTTTTGGACTTGGTTTACAGAGACTCTGACCTGCTGGACTACACGCACTGTACTGCTACCAGGTTACAAAGCAGTTCAAGTCAGCGGTGAAGCTTAGGAAAGCAAGCTTGAATGCAGTGTTTCAGGACACAGACACCTGGTGACCCCTGACACGTGCTTTCAGTGACCAGCTCCTTGTAGATGTTTTACAGGTTTTGCTCATCTTAAAGCAAGACTTAAAAAAAAAAAATAAAAAACACCAAAAAACCCCAGTCCATTCAGACTGCCAAGAGCTTCAACAGAACAGTTCAGGCTACCCAAGATGCCAGTGGACTAAACTTGGATCCTTTCAGCAAGAACATACAGTTTGGTGCCTCCACACCAGGGCAGGCAGCTTTACCTACCAGCTGGCAAGGCAGAATCATCTTCTGCTTTTTCTCCTTCCTCTTCCACCTGCACCCCTTCTAATGCATTTCCCAGCACACCATTTTCCATCCTGAAGGGAACAAAAGCTTGTTATCCCTTGGTTCTTGTGATGCATCCCCATTTGAACTCCACAAGCTGCAGTGCCACAGCCCATTCCACCCAGGGAAAGTCTGTCCATAAAGGAGCGAAATCCTGTTACACCAGACAGACTCTTTAACAACTGACAAACTGTCACCATACCTTGCCAACTCCAGGAGAGACTTTCCATAGTAAAAAAAAGCTTCTGCACACTCATCCGCTGTCTCACCGTACTTCTTACCCCTACAAGAATAATGAAGAATTATTTGCCTGGGCCTACTTTAGATTTTGATACATGAACTAGAAAGCTAAATTTTCTCTGGACAGGAAGAAATCAGTTTCTTGGCTCCTCTTTCATTGCTTCAAACCAATAATGAACGCTCCTCTCACTTAGCTTTCATGTGGCTCTCAAACACACGCAAAGGGAATTAATCTTTAACCCAGAAAGTACCATTCTCAGAGGCTGATCGAGGCTGGTGAACACGTTACTGGGAAATAACACTATCTCATTGCTTTTATATTAAAAGACCCCTGCAAAATAAACTATCAAATCCCTTTTCCTCTATAGGGAGCTGCACTGGCAACTACTGTCACAAAAGCCATCCAAGCTGCAGACCAGCCACAGCATGTCCAGCACTTGGGGGAGTTCAGTTTGTCCTCTCCTCAGTTCTACTGGAAATTACAAACACGTGAGGTAAAAATCCCAATCTTTCTCGCGTGAGCCACATCAGAACAGCCAAGCTGAAGCCCAAGCCCTGCAGAAACACCCAGAACGTTCTGCTACTCACAGTAAACTTGCAGCTTCCTGGAATGCATTAACAGCAGCCGGAATATTTCCCATCACCAAGTGCTTCTGCCCCAAACCCAGTAGTTTCTTTGATTCTCCATCCACATCCATACTGGAAGAGGGGAAATAAGTCAAATACAGGACAGTGTTAGTTTTCACAGTCATTTCATAGATAGCTTTCAAAACCTTGCCAGCTTTATGGAAGAGTGAGTTGTGTAAGTTACAGGGGTTGGAACTACCAGCGGGGATTTGCTTGGCTTTGTTTGTTTAAATGGGGAACAACTTACGGTTCCAATAAGCAAGGGATGACAGGAAAATCTGAACCAACCACTGCAGAAAGTACCAGAACCTGGTATGGCAAAGGGTGCTAAGGAATGCACTTCAGGAGCTGTACAGAAACAGACCACCGAGTACCACAGTGTTTCACCAGACTCCAGTGGTGGCTCAGTCAAGAGAAAGAAAGAACAAGCCCAAGTTCAGACTTTTCATAGCACAGCACGATGCAGCTGAGAAGAATGATAGATGCAACACTCAAGTTTCCATTCAGTGCATCTTGCACAGCTTTACTTCCAGAAGGCTCTGCCCAGCAGAAGATCTCAGACTGGGACAAGAGAGTATTGTCACATACCAGTCTGTGCCTCTCCAGCACTAACAGACCAAGAACCTTGAGAACAGCTGCTCTTTTTGCATTTATTAGTCCTTGAAATGGTTTTGCTGCTCTAGATTTGTGCAAACCACGGGTGAGCACAAGTTTTCAGCACCTACATCAGTTAAATCCCTAGCCTAACCACGTGATTCGAAGGGAGACCTTTGTGTTTCAGCCAGTAACTCCTGAATTCCACATTATTTGGTGACCGATAGTCCTGACTCCCTCACCTCTCTGTCTTGTCCGTGGACGTGGAAGGGGCTGCCAATTCTTCTTCCATCCTGCAAACAAAACATCGAGCGATTCTTTTACAAGCGCTCACCAACCCCACGGCAGGAAGGGCATGAAGCGAGGGCAGGGAGCGCTGGATTTCGGACGTCCATGCCCGCGGGGCGAGCTCGGGTTCGGTGTGCGGGGTTCGGGCCCCGCGCAGACAATGGGCCTTTCCCGCCCTGCCCGGCCCCGCCCCCCGCCTTGGCCCCGCCCCCCGCCCTTGGCGCCAAACCCCGCGGCGGCTCCTCACGGGCCAACGGTCACGTGACGCCCCTCCCCTACCGCGGCGTCTTTTGCCCCCAACAAAGATGGCGGCGGCCGCGCCGCGGTCACGTGGTGGCCCCGCGCGAGCCGCGCGGGCCCAGCTGGCGCCGGAGGAGCGGGGAGCGGAACGTACCACCGGGGCGGGGGGGAGGGGGGGGACGGGGCCGGCCGGTACCACCGGAGCGGGAGGGGGGGCGGGAGAGGAAGGTACCACCGGCGACGGGAGGGGGCTACGGGGGGGGATGCAGGTATCACCGTCGGTGCGGGGGGAGCAGAGGGGACAGGCGCGACATCCCGACCGGCACCCCCAGCCCTCCCTCCAAGGAAATCCTGCCCACCGCCTCCCTTACCCCCCCCCCGCACCCCCCTCCGGGCGCGAAAGCGCCCCCCCGCTCCTCTGCTACCCCCCCCACCCCCTCCCCGACACGCACACACCGTAACCGGGGCGAGCCAGGCCTACCTAGTCGCGGAGGCCGGCGCGGGCTCAACGCAGCGGGGAGCGGCGACGGCCGAGGATTGCATAGAAGCTGCTGGAGAGAGGGGCGGCGGCGGCAGAGTGCAGCCCCCTGCCCCTCGGGCCGCCTATATACCCCCGAGGACACGCCCCGGCCCGCCTGGCGGCGCGCGCGCGCCGCGGGGGGACTACCGTTCCCGGCATGCCCCGCGCCCGCCCCGCCGCGGGACGCCGGGGGCGCCGCCGCGCGGGGCCCGCCGGGAAGTGTAGTGCCGGCCGGGGGGCGGGGGCACGCCAGGCACGCCGGGAAGTGCAGTCCAGCGGCGCCGCCAGCCCGGCCCGCCGGGAGCCTCTTCCCGGCCTCGCGTATTCCCGGGAGGCTTCGGCGCCCCGGCCCCGGCACAGCTTCAGCAGCCACCGCAGCCCATGCGAGGCGGGCAGGCCGTGCGCTCCGGCTCTGCTCTGCTCTGCCGCAGCACACGGCCCCGAGCGGGCAGGGCCGACATGGCCGCGGCCCCCTCAGGGCGCAGACCCGCCGGCTCCGCTGCTGTTGTTGTTACAAGATAAAAGTTCACCGCCTCCAACCCCGCTATGTCACTGCACGCAACACAGCCGGGAAGTGTGGGCTCCACAGAGGTAAAGAATCAGCCTGCTTTTCTTGGGAATTCTTCCCAGCCCACGTACCTCTGGTTGGAGAAATAACCGCACAAAGTTAATTGGGGCCCTGACATGAGGGGGGGGGGGCGGAAAAAGTCCCAAAGTCGTACAATGAGTACAGAATTTATTGAAGACAAGCAAACATGCAAGGGGAACACAAGCAAGAAAAGCCCCCGTCCTTGGCAGGATGACTGCTGTGAGCAGTGCACAGAGTGCCTTCAAAGCACGACTGCTTCCCTTATGGCTGCAGCAAGAACCACATTCAAACTCACCCGTGTTTGATTAGAACAGTAATAATAATAAAAAAAAAAAAAGGCAACAGGAATTTCATTTTCCTTAGGAGTAAATGTCCAGTCTTGTGAAGATATCTAACTGAGCTGCATTGGCTTTTTCCACTGAGGTAAATTCAACAGAAATTAGAAAACATTTTACCAAGAAACAGGAGTTCCTTAAATTTTACATACAAAGAGTGATAAACAGGTTTGTTCCAGTTCAGCTGCACACTGGGAGGCCCAGGGCAGGAAATACTTGAGGAGGCATTAGAGTCGGGATGAATATGTAGCTTTGCTACAGGCCTACTGTAAATGAGGTTATCAAAACTGAAGTATCGAATTCTTTAAGTTTTGAACTATTGAAATACAGAAGATTATTCTTCTAACTGTTTGCTACTGCTATGGGAAAAATTAATCCTACTTTACAGCCGGAGAACACCAATATAAAAGGTTAATGTTGCTAAAGCCACAGAAGGTACCACCATCAGAGCAGGGGTAGGTACTGACACCTCATGCCCTTTGTCTCAGATGGGGATTCATTAAGAGACTGAAACAAAATAAAACTCTGGTTAGAGCTGGAGTTCCAGCCCTCTGTATCAGCACTCAGTAAATTAATCCCTGCCAGGGGGGAACACAGAGACGTGGAAGTGAGAAAACAGAGGCACAGAAAGGCGAGTGACTTGCTCTGTTACCAGCAGGTCAGGGGTAGAGCAGGAGAGGTTGATGATCTTCCGAGCATCAACCCAGGCAGCACCCAAAAATGCTACATCAAAATGGAAGGAGCTCTCTGACAGGTCTTTGCTCTTACTGTATCAGTCAGGAACTGATCTTGTGACCTTCCAGAACTCAGACTGGACACCCCTGCTAAAGGAACACTGGCCAACTTCACGGGAAAGGCAGGATGTTTTTCTACAGGACTTCCTGAAAAGTTCTTGTGGCTTTTGCGATAGGAGGATCAGAGCTATTGTCAGAGCTGAAACTCAGCACTGTGACAAGCAAGAGAGCATGGCCCTGAAGGCCTGCTCCAGGGCCTGCTTTTATTCTCTTCAAATCTACAGGCAAATTAAAAGAAAGAGAAAATAGAAAATTGTAAGTTCCACAAGTACAGTAAAGTGGATAGAAGTGCTGGGCATGGCTGGTGACTTGGGTTTTAATGAAAGGGTATGGACACAGTGCAACTGCAGCACATTTCTCTTTGTTCCCTGTGTAAAAAATATTACTAAACACATCAAAGGTGCTGGCTGAGCAGTTTTTTAGTCTTAAAATACTTTCACGTCTTCACTCTTTTTTTTTTTTTTTTTGATTTTTCCCTCTCATGGTGATAACTATAAAGTTTTCAAAACCGTTTCACAGGCAGTAAACCCAAAGTATTGCCCCAGCTTGATAATGACATGTTCGGAACTTGATTTAGACTTCACCACTCTACCTAATCTCCAAAAGATTTGATGCTTCCAGCAGCAAGCTTGCAGTCCTTGTAATAAATCCACAAACTCGGACATGGAAGCTACAGTATCTCCAGAAAGGAGGTCGATTAGAAGTTGTTCATTGTAGGTAAACCTACTCAGAGAGGAAGTTGTAAATTTGGACAGCGTTTTTGACAAATTGTGGCAACAATTGTTCTGTGGAAGGGCACTAAGAGGAGCACGTTAATTTAACACCTTATTTTCCCGTAGTTAATAGGGGTCATTGAAGGGGTAATGGGGGTGTCCAGCATCTCTGGCGACAAGCTTTCCATCCACCTGTGAAGTAAACAAGACAAACTCGAAGTCAGCAAGACGAAAACCCATTCTTACTCTCAGTTTCAAGTTCTCCATGGAGGTTTAGATTTCCAAACCTTTGTATGCCAAACATCTGGGACTGCACTTTTCAGCCTAAACAAGGGCTGTTCCCTCTACTCCCAAGTCCTCTTAGCATTTCTTAACAGAAAAGACAGATTTCTGTAGCCTAGAGCAAGAGCCTCTCAAGCTGCAGAGACCTGAAGAACTAGATTAGGAATAGTTAAAAGCCTTTGGCCTTGTAGCTGTTCCTGAGTAAGTGTTGTAACATGCACACTTCCAAAACACTTCCCTGGAATTGGAACCCCTGTTTCCACCACAGAGTTGCTGGGCTGCCAGTTTTGAGAGATGGATAAGATGGAAACACACTGGATGGCTTGCTCAGGGCCACATCCTGAGGCATTGATAGTGTCACTGCACTCCCTTCCTTGCACTCTTTGCTTAACAACATTTCCACAGAAGACCACTTGTCCAGCTCTCAAATGTCAGAGAAATCACTGTTTTTTATACCTATAAATGTGGTTTTTATACATATAAATGTGATGTTAGGGACGTTCTGGGGCCAGAGGGAATCACAGGGATTTTCAAACCAAGTATCCAGTAGGAAATGCCTCCATTAGCTTTCAGTATAAAACCTGCATTTCAGAGCAGCAACCGGAACTCCTGCTGTTGAACTGTTTAAATGAAACGAGTCGCCTGGGGGCACTGCAGAGCTCAGAACGAGGGTGTTACAGTTTAACATCTGACTAATGCTCTGATTAAAACAAAATAAAGCTGAAATGAAGCTGTCAAGGGAAGGCAGCCCTCAAAACCGTGGACAGAAGTGTCACAGTAGCGTCAGGTTTCCTCACGTTCTCTTCAGAGCCAACAGCTTTCTCGTGTTCCTAGAATTCAGATTCCTCCTTTCCCCCCCCTCCCAGTTTCTCCCCCCTGCATATTTCTCCACAGCATGCCGAGACAGCAGCTGCCAGCAGCAATGTTTCACATCACTGACTCCAGTCTGCTCCAGGAATCTGAGAGAAGGAGGGGGGATAAAATCAGCAGTGAACACGCTGCAGGTGAATGGTAGTTTACTATCAAAAATAGGTCATGATGTGTACACGACCATCACTCCTCTCCTGGCTTGACAGTCATTTAAGTTTCACTTCAACATTCCTTGGCCAATTACGTGTTTCCAAAAGTTTGGATTTCAGGCAGGTGAAAGGTCATTTCCAACCTCTAACTAGATAATGAACAGTTAGAAGTATAAAGCAACTTAAGTTGCCTACATTCGATGTAACAGCCTCTCCTCAGGCTTTAACACAACCAGGAAAAGAGAGGCACAACTGTAACAACTTGTGGTTATAGATCAGTGAAGTAAAGCAAGGAAGAACTGTCAGATACAGCAGGAGCTCTGATGTCACTGCCATATCACACTTTGAAATCCAGAACTGAATCTGTTAAATCAGATTCATAGGGGAGATAGGCATGAAAGGTTAGACAGGAATTTTAATTCACAGTTGACAAAAAAATCTTTCCAATAAGCCCAGAAGGGATGGGCAGGAGACAAAAGGTTCCGGTAGAGATCTTACAGCTGCAGAGCCGTGATTTAATTCCCCTCATCTCGCTTCTTCCTGTCTTGTTATCTGACACTGTGGCAGTACCTTTGAAGCCCAGCTGCACCACATCCACCCTCTCTCCAGCGGGATGGGCTGCCACTTTGAACTGCATTTCATCTCTCCTTTGTGAATCCCTGTGATCCGCTCAGGTCTCCCAGGCAACAACAGCTCACCCAAGCCGGGCTATGTTCTAACGCATTTTGCAGTTTCGTTAACAAAACAACTTTGTTTGCAGCCTGAGTATGAAAACACTTGGAAAGGAAACACCCTGTCAGCAGCAGGTGTGCTCCTCACTGCCACATCCACACAGGGCAGCAGCTGAGCTTGCCCTTTGGGGTACAGACTCCTGACCCATAAACACAGAGAGAGTCCTGGCTGCAGGGATGTGGGGGGTTATATTTATGCACACACGCAGTTAAAAGGGTGGCCTTGAGGCTCAGAGCATGACAAACAGTTGGAAATTGTAACAACAAATCAGCAGGAGTTTGATGAGATGGGACTCTGACTTAAAGATCCATGTAATGGGAGCTCAGGAGAGGGCCACCAGTGTCCAAACCAGAGAAAAGTGTTCAAAGAGCTACCTTTTCTGCCCCCCGACTTTGAAAAATTCCTCCCTTTAGACAACCTAAGATGCGGTGTTCTTATGAGTAAGTAGTTCTGATGGGGGGGCTAAAGAAAGAAATCTGTAAAATCTCAAGTTTTGGCCACAGGCACACAATAAAAACTGTGAGAAACGTGAAAAATTTACCGTAATCATCGGCACGATGTAACGCCAGTTTTTATTCAGGCTTGCAATGTGGCTCATCTCCTGGTCTGTGAGGCTGAAATCAAACACCTGAGAACAAAAAAGCAAGAGGC